CCACTAGTTCTTGAGGACCAAGATATCCACTTGCTAGGGTTAAGCCCATTAAAATGTTTTCTAGATCCGTGATTACAATTCTATTTTTTGGTAGAACATTTTCCAAAAGGTGGGTTTCCTTATCTGTTTCGAATTTATGGATTTGATTCATTGGATTTGTGAGTTCATTTAGACGTTTCTGAAATTTGATATTTAATTCTGTTTCTCTTTCATCTGTTCTCATAAATTATTCTTGATTGAATTTCATTTGCTCCCAATCGTTAAAGTCGGAGGTGCCGGCAATAACTTTTAGTGCTGTCCCGATTAAGTTAATACTCCTAGCGGCTCTATGGTGGATTTTCAAGGTAGTCACCAACTTGCGAATATTTGTAAGATCCGTCATTATGGCTGGTGTCATTGTTTCCGTCTGGTCGGCGTAGTCTTCATAAGTCGTCACGTTTGTTGAGTGCTGTAGGTATCCGTAGGACTCCCAGATGAGAATTTCGTTTTCTTCTATCGGGATGTAGTCTGCGTTTGTGTAGTCATAAAGTTTTACTCTCGCGTCCGTCTTGGCAGCTGTAACTACAAAAACTAAGACGAATTTTCTTTACCTAGGTTCAGTAATCTCGCGAAAATGGGTAGCGTCGATTGTCCTTGTGGACCACCCTCCTCTCAATTTGGACCGTGGTCCCCAGGTCTGGCGAGAGCGTGTTTCCTATGCGTTTGTTTGCCTTTAAGAAAACTTTTTCACCAGCTTGATAGCCCTTTTGGGTCCTATCTTTGTTTACCTGATCAAGGAATTTTTCTCTTACTAATTCTGCTTTCGAAATCCGCGGGTTTTGAGTGAACAATCTCTATGGGTTTTTGTTGGTTACGGAGTGGATAGAATTGTTGTATTTGTTGGTTGCCAAAAGGATTAGTTCGGTCGTATCGCTTAAGTTGCCCTCTGTTTTCAAGCATCTGGCTATTTCCGCGAGGGTGCGGGGCGTTGGCGATGGTGATATTGAAATGATTCATTAGAATCGATTTAATTGTTTCGGAGTTGAACGATCTTTCGTTATCACAATAAATTGTTTTGATTTTTGGGAATAAATTTATTATGTGTAACAAAGGGGATTTTACGTCCACTATGGCCATCGATGCGATAGCCTGCACCGTGGCGAATTTTGAAAATTTATCGATGCATGTTAGAAAAAGGGTTCCATATGTTGAAAAAATGTCGATGTGGAGAATTTCCCTTCCAAAAGAAGGTATCGGTGATTCTGCTATCACTTGCTTAGATGGATGGCGTTTGTATTTTGCCATTAAACAGGTCTTGCAATTCAGGGTTGTTTCTATTGCTAACCGAAGTATTATAATTTCGCGCCGTGATCGTCGATAATTCCCTTCCAGCGTTTTAGTTTCGCGTTAGGGTTTTTGTCCGAGACGGCAAAGGTAAGTGGCTGGTGGTCGGTAAAGATCTGCAAGCCTTTCACTCCGTACAAGTAATTCCGGAGGTTTTTCAGTGCCCAAACTTTAGCGAGGAACTCTCGGTCGTTGGTTGCATAATTTTTTTCGTTGTCCCGCAGCGCACGTGATATTATAGTGATGGGGCGGCCATCTTGCGATAGAACCGCTCCCAATCCAGAGCCTGACGCATCAGTCGTCAAGTCAAATGGTTTTTTTAAGTCCGGTTAGGAAAGCAGAACGTCTTCTGCCAAGATCTATCTCAACCTGTCAAACGTTTCGCTCTGTTCCTTGGTCATATCTATGTCAACTTTACTCGACTGATATTTGCTAGTTTTGCCATTTTCTCTCTTTAGGATATTCATTAAGGGCCTTGCGATAGCCGCGAAGTTTTTTATGAAGCACCTAAAATGGCTTGCTAGTCCCAGTCTGAGTTCGTATAGCGTTCTAGGCGGGGGGAATTGTTTTCTTGCTTTGACCTTCTCAGGTGAAGTTCGTAGCCCTGTTTGAGACACTATGAATCCCAAGTATTCGACGCTTTTTTAAAGAACTTTGACTTCTCTTGGGACACTCTCATGCCCGCCTCAAAGAGTTTTGTTAAGGCCCAATCCACGTCCCTAACATGGTCCTCTTTTGTTTTGGAAAATATTATAACGTCATCGACATCTTTGAAATTCCTTCTCGAAGGACATCGTCTATGGCCCTCTGGAAAATGCTTTCTTAAGTCCAAATGGCAATCTACAGAATTCGTATTTGCCGTTGTTTATTGAAAAGGCTGTCTTTTCCCTGGCCTTTTCTGCCAGCTCTATCTGATGAAAGCCTGACTTGAGGTTGAGTGTCATATTGAGTGCCCATATTCGACAGTATTGTCGAGATGGTAGGGATAGGGTATCTATCGTCTACGGTTTTTTCCTAGTTTCCTAAAGTCGATAGCCAATCGCTTCTTTTTAACTCCATTTTGGTAAGTTTCTTTTTTATCCACAACCCAGATAGAGTTATTATATGTGAAATTGGATGGCCTTATTACGCCGTCCGTAAGAAGTTGTTTAACCTCTGCATTGACGAATTCGACTACACCCATGGGATGCGGGTTTGACTTAGACTTCATTTACTTGTTTAAGTAAGTCGAGTCCGATAATGCCGTTAAAGTCTTTAAGGTCGTTAAGAATAAAAAAGGGTGTTTTTAAGTTGAACACTGAAACCAGATATTTTTTATCTATTTTAGTAAAGCCATGGATCGACTTTACTGTGAAGGGTTTATCCGCTGCCACGATGCCTTTAAGCCCCGGGAGTGGAGTAATGTAATGTTTAGAGGTGCCTGTGTCGAGTAATAGTTTTATTTCTTTTCTTGCTACCGTACGTGTAATGTAAGGAAGCAGGGATTTTATTCTAAAAAATTGCAGGAGTCTTCTGCAGCAAACTCGTCCTCTATCTCCGTGGTGCTTGCTTGCGCAACGAAGTCATATTCCTCATCGTGGGTTTTTTTTCCGGCATGAAGTTTATTTTTTGTTGGGATCGTGTCGACCCTTTTTTGCTACGCCGTGGGCTGCTTGAACCTGGAGGAGATGTCGACCTCCATTGGTTCTGGCGCTGGTTGGCTTTGACCTGCGATATTATATGGTCTTTGTTTAAAAGAACCACCCTGATTAGTTGATCGGGCTAAATATCTTTTCATCTCTATGGCGGGCGAAGGTGGCTGCGTAAGCGCTTCTATCATTACTTGCTTCAGCTTCTTGAGCTAATGCCAAGGCTGATGGTACGTCTCTTGATTGCGCCGGAAAAACGGCTATTTTTGATGACTTTTTTAAGCATGATATGAACGCATGTAAAGCGTCATCTCTGTGCTGTTAGTTTAGGAGTGCCGCCGCGGTTGCGTCGTGAGTTATGATTGTTTTATTGGTAAGAAGCTTTAGTTTCCGTTCGATCTCGTCATAGTATTTAAGAAGGGGCAGTTCTCCCTGTCTTGATAGACTTTACTCTAGCTTAATTGCGTCCGCCGGAGTTTTGTCCGCATACGTAAAATCCAACCTTGCCAGTATGGCATGAGAATTAAGCACTGTGTTAAATAAGGCTAATACAGCCGCTGCTGCGCCCCTTACCATATTTTTAAGTATTCCTACAGCCTGGTAATGTCGGCTGCTGCCTTTGTCTGACTCAAATACCCTATACGCTGCAGTAGCAGCCTGCCTCCAGGAAACATAGTTTTCCTGCTTCCCATCGAATTCCGGCACAGATTTTACCATGTTCGTTACATTCTTTCCCCGTTTCTATTTCTTTTTTTTAGAAAAGTCTGAATTTTCGGAGTTTTATCCGTTAATGAGCATAACTCCCCCATAATTTTAGCTAGTTTTTCATCGAATAACTCCTGTTGCCTTTGGAGCGCGCAGGCTATGGGAGCTTCCATGCTCGCAATTTGTTTAGCCTGCATTTCTTCTGTGTTCTGGGCTCATGCGATTTTAAAGTCAAGAACACTGTCTCGGATGTGTGGTACCCTGCTGGTCGATGGGTGACAATATTCTTCAGATTTATCTGTTCTGGTTTCTGCCTTTCTACTCTTGTCTTCAAAAGTTTTTTTGTATTCTTCTAGAACTTCTTCGTCTGATGAGACGTTGTCGCTATTCCTATACATGAGTCAGTATATAAAAAAAAATATCGTGGGTGCCACAAATTTCAATCGAGATCCTGTTAAAAAATTTTTTAGCATCTATTATTTTTTGCAACAAAATTTAAATATCAAAATCAATGTTTTATTAATCAACAACAAATTTTATTAAAAAAAATGTTTTGTATTTTTTGTGTCGGAAACTATGCATCAAAAAATACAACATTTTTATTACTAAAAATTCTCCAAAAAATATAATTGGTTTATTTTATTTTTGCACAATTTAGTATAGTAAAATTTGTAATTTATTCGATTTAAAGTGTCAACGAAATGTATTTTTTAATTATTTGCACTAGCGAACACTTAGGACAAAAAGCCTACTCACATATTTATTTCGTCTTTGAGTTCTATGTTTTGCCGACGGCTATTGCCGCCACTGGTACTGCCACTGTTTGCTGCCGCTGCTGAATCTACATGCACTGTAATTATGCGTTCATCCAATTTTGCCGGTACTGTTCTTCGACTTTTAGTAATGGTTAAATATTTCGAAATTGCGGTTTAAGTTTCATTAAAATCGGACGACTATATCATATAGCTCCAATGGAAACAATAAAAATATATAATTATTCTTTTTTAAATGTAACTTTTCTATTTTGTAATTTTTCTTTTTTAGTTCATTTTATACCCTTGCAGAGGGTATTATAATTTCAGTCAGAAGTTTGCAACGCAGTGAAGGAGACATCTCCGACCCTATAAAGTATATATATTCTTGATCAGCATCACTAGGCGAGTCGATCTAGCCATGTCCGTCTGTCCGTCCGTCTGTCCGTCCGTTTATATGCAAACTAGTCTCTCAGTTTTAAAGCTATCTGCATGAAACTCTCCCAAAAGTTGTCTTTCTATTGCAGGTATTACATAAGTCGGAACGAGCCGGATCGGCCGACTATAGCATATAGCTCCCATTAGAGGTGGAGAACTATCGATGGCACTATCGACACTATCGATGGTTGGGCGCTATCGAGCCACTATCGATAGCAGCAGACACCTTCGATAGCGGCCCGTCCACTATCGATAGTGCCATCGATAGCGGGCGTCTCACATCGCTAAAATACTTTAACGCGCATTTCACACACAACTTCACACAAACAACTGAAAAATTGTTAAAATTGACGGGAATTATAAAAAAAACTATTAAAAATGGAACGCTTTTTAAAAAAAGGTATGTTTAATGTATTTTGCATAAGTATTTTGATGGATAATGTGTTGCATTTAAGGTACACGTCGGAGGTCCGCAACACCTACTGCGCCAAGTCCAAACAAACAGGACTGTGAAAGAGCTTTTAGCAAGGCAGGGCAAATTGTTTCCGAGAGACGCACCCGGCTCAAAGAGAAAAACATTAACATCCTGTTATTTTTGAATCAAAACTTTTGGTTAAAATAAACCATTTTTCTTAAAAACTTAAAAAAAAAATTTTTAATTTCGGACGATATTATCGGTGACTATCGATGGTACTATCGACACTATCGATGGTTTGAAAAAAACAATCGCTCACTATCGATGGCGCCGACTATCGATAGTTCTCCACCTCTAGCTCCCATAGAAACAATCGCAAAAAAATTTTTTAAAAAATTATAACTTTGGATCGGAAGACTATAGCATATAGCTCCCATAGGAACAATCGGAAAAATAAATTTAAAAAAATTATAACTTTGGTGTTTTTTAATTTTTTTGTTAATTCTTCGAGATATAGTAATGGTTAAATATTTCTGAATTACGCTTTAAATTTCATCAAAATCGGACGACTATAGCATATAAATAAATAATAGAAAAATTGAAAAACGGTAAAGTTATAATTTTTTTTGTATTTATTTCCGATTGTTCCTATGGGAGCTATATGATATAGTCGTCCGATTTTGATGAAATTTAAAATTAAATTTATGTCGAAGCACTAAACGAAAAATTAAAAAACAGCAATGTTATAATTTTTTTCATTTATTTTTCCGATTTTTCCTATGGGAGCTATATGCTATAGTCGTCCGACCCGGCTTGTTCCGACTTAAATACTACCTGCAATAGAAAGACAACTTTTGGGAAAGTTTCATGCAGCTAGCTTTAAAACTGATGGACTAGTTTGCGTAGAAACGGACTGACAGACGGACGGACAGGCGGACGGACAGAAGGACGTACAGACAGGCGGACGGACATGGCTAGATCGACTCTCCTCGTGATGCTGATCAAGAATATATATACTTTATAGGGTAGGAAATGTCTCCTTCACTGCATTGCAAACTTCTGACTGAAATTATAATACCCTCTGCAAGGGTATACAAAATTTACTGTATTTGTAATTAATAAGTTTTGTAATCGGCATAAAGCTGAACAATAGAACCAGCCTTGTAACTTAACAATTCCAATTCAGCGAACCGACTATGAAACTAATTAAATAAATATAAAGTAAATTTTTCGGTAAAAGAAATAATAATCATCACAAAATTTGATATCTGAAATTTTTGGAGGTGAGTTTGTTAAACAAATAATAATAGGTTTTATTAAAGGGCTATTCCAGATGCCGTGGCCAACTCGTTTAAACCGCAGAATTTAATTACTCGGCTCTTGAGTAAAAGGATTTCTAAAATTAAAAATCTAGTTCGAAACTTGTTCATCAAACAAAAGAGTCAAGCTTTAAACTAAGTAGCTGTCAGTAAGAGTTTCTTCGCCAGTTAGATATTATTTGTGTGCGCGACGTGAGCTGAGTGCCTATGTATGTATGTATGTATATATCCACGGGCAACGACATCTAGTTGGCTGGCAAGGCAGGCAACACAAAATACAAATTTCCAAAATAACAAAAAGAAAAACATATTTCTGTCTTAGTTCATATACCATTTAAGCTATGTATAATAAAATAAAATATGTTTTAACACGAATTTATTTTTATATAGACACATGTATGTTTAACTACTACAAAGTAATATTTGTTTTCCATATACATATGTATATCCGATTGTACCTATCGACAATGTCTCTTTCATTACGTTTAAACATTCGACTGATATTATAATACACCCTGCATAGGTATACAAAACAAACCAAGCAATTGTTTATCTTCGTCCACTCCCAAGCGTACCAAACTTGTTTACCTTTGTGTATGCTTTATTATTATTTATTAGTAAAGTCTGAGTTCTTTTTTTATTAGTTTTGAGGGGGGCATTGCATACAAATCTGTTGATTAAGACTTTCAAAAAAGGCAAGAAATGTAAAGTATTTTAAGGTAATCACAGAATGTATACTCTATCGATTTATAACTCTTTTGAAATATATATAAACAAGAAAGAAAGTAAACTTCGGCAAGCCGAAGTTCATATACCCTTGCAGCTATTGCAAAAATTAAATATTCTTGAAAGCATTAAAATTATGATTTACTTGCGTATATGCTTAAAAACATTGAAGACATGATGATTTTCAGCTTAATTATTCGATAGTTCCTTTGGCAGCTATATGATATCGTTTTCCGATTTTAAATAAAATTAAAAGCGTAATTCTGAACTGTCAAATTAATAATAAGACAAAAAGAATTAAAAAAGAATAATCACAAAATAGAAAAGTTACATTTAAAAAACAATAATTATATATTTTTATTGTTTCCATTGGAGCTATATGATATAGTCGTTCGATTTTAATGAAACTTAAACCGCAGTTCCGAAATATTTAACCATTACTTTATGTCGAAGAACTAAACGAAAAATTAAAAAACAGCAAAGTTATCATTTTTTTAAATTTATTTTTTCGATTGTTCTTATGGGAGCTATATGATATAGGCGTCCGATCCGTCTCGTTCCGACTTATATACTACCTGCAATAGAAAGACAACTTTTGGGAAAGTTTTAGGCAGATTGCTTTAAAATTGAGAGACTAGTTTGCGAAGAAACGGACGGACAGACTGACAGACTGACAGACGGACGGACAGACGGGCATGGCTAGATTGACTCTCCTAGTGATGCTGATTAAGAAAATATATACTTTAAAGGGTCGGAGATGTCTCCTTCACTGCGTCGCAAACTTCTGACTGAAATTATAATACCCTCTGCAAGGGTATAAAAACTGAAAATTTAAAAAAGGTCTTCATGATTACTTTTACTGTGATGTCCATTGCAAACCACATTTTTTGTCGAAGGGACGCTGACATCTGATGATATATCTTTATGGATATATTTTTTAATATACTTAAAATGACAATATATAACGTATTTTGAATAATATATTCAGAATGAAGCCTTTCCACCCTTAATCAGGTCGTCGTAGAAAGCCGCTCAATCGTCCCAAACAGTGGCCAAGCCGGGATTGTCGTCCAGAAAGATTAAGCTGTGTGTTTGGTGGGATTGGAAGGGATTGGAAGGGAATCTTCCACTATGAGCTACTCCCATAAGGCCAGACGCTTATTTCTACTGTCTACTGCGAGCAAATTTCGCTTGAAACAGGCATCGGCCAGAAGCGTCCAGAATTGGCCAACAGGACAACGCCAGACCAGATGATTCGTCAGAAGCTATCCACCATATAGCCCGGACATAGCGCCAAGTGACTACCAACTGTTTCTGTCCATGGCGAACGCCCTTGGTGGTATAAATATGAACTCCAAATAGGCTTGTAAAAAGTGGTTGTCCGAGTTCTTTGCAATTAAGGAAGAGGGCTACTACGAGGAGGGTGTTATGAAGTTGTCGTCTAAATGAAAGCAGATTATCGAACAAAATGGCGCATATTAGTAAATTCGATCACATTAGCACTTTTTAGATAGAAATATTTGAAAACAACAAGATTGGATTTCGTATTTTTTTTTCAATCGAAAACATAAAACTAAAGGAATAAGTTTAATTTTTTGATCCAATAAAAAAACTTAAGTCACGCTGTAAATAAAACTCTTCAAAGGATTATTATTTGTGAAGCTAAAAATTAAACTCAAAAAAAATTCGCTATTCTTCTAAATTTTTATAAAACTTGAAAAATAACAGTTTTTTTTTTTTAAACATAAGAATTAATTTTTTTTTTTAAAATTGTTTTTTACATATGCATTTTATTTATTGAATCTTCTCTGAATTGAGACTAACAATAGGTATATAAAATCTTAAATTAAAAAAGCTATATCTGACAGTCAAGTTGACTGACGCGGGATGTAAGGGCTCTAATAACTATTGCTGAGCTGGAAGGTCATTTCGTTGCAATCGGATCCGGTTGGAAACCCTGGCGAGCTGGTTTGGATGAGAAGTTAGCTTGGTGGGGTAGGACGCCTTTTGTTTTGAAATTTCATCTTTTACGGGTAGATGTGGATGTTGTCGTTCCGATCATACCAAGGTGCCCCAGTGATAGTTCTCAGGATTTTTGATTGTGCTCGCTGGATAATGTCGATGTTACTGCTGCTCGCGTTTCCCCACAATTGGGAGCCGTAAGTCCAGACTAGCTTAAGCGTTGAATTGTAGAGCAGAACCTTGAAGTCCAGGCAAAGGGGGGAGCGATCGTTTATGAGCCAATGGAGGTTATTAGATTTAAGTTTTAGATGAATTTTCTTAGCTTCGATATGTCTCCGCCATGTAAGTCTTCTGTCAAGGTGGACGCCAAGGAACGTTACATCGTCAGCTTGTGGAAGTGGCGTGTTATTCAGAGTTAGCCGGGGACACGTTTGTCTGTTAAGAATAAACGTTATGTGTTTACACTTTTGCGTATTTATTTTTATACGCCAGTCTGATAAACACCTCTCCACTACCACGAGATGATCAGCTAGTAGTGCTGTTGCCTGAATTGGGCATTTGGACCGACTTAAGATTAAGACTTAAGACTTAGCCGCTCGTTCGTGGGAATATCTGCGGTGTAAAGCAGAAATAGAGTTGGACCAAGGACACTACCTTGAGGAACTCCAGCCTCTATCGTGTAATCGTCGGATATTGTCGGCGAAGGCTCTGTTGTAAAGGTACGATTCAAGTATCCTGTGAGTGTTTTCCGGTAGTAACGTTCCGATTTTATGCATAAGGCCATCGAGCCAGACTCGGTCGAAAGCCTGCGCAACGTCAAGGAATACCGCACTGCAGTATTCCCGAAACTCGAATGCAGTTCGTATTTCTGTTGTTAATCTGTTAACTTGCTCTATTGTTCCATAGCCTTCTCGAAAGCCAAATTGATGCGACGGAATAATGTTGTGTTTTTTTAGATATGGGATTATGCGCGTCAAAAGGCGTTTTGATAAAATTATGACAAGAATACAGAAATAGCCCTTAAAAATACCTGTTCAACGATATACGTATACGTACCCGTAGCTTTAGTCGTTTGGAGTTGTGGGTGTGTGAAATCTAGTTCTTTTTTCACAGTCGCGGGAGAGAACTTCATAAGCCCGTCATAAAATAAAAGTTCAATTTTGTATGTTTGGGTCTACCGATAGATATGATAGAACCGCACACGCAACAATAAACGCCAATTATCTAACATGTCTCAGGGTGAGAGTACACGATTTGTAGGCGTTAGAGTGGGCATGGCTCCGTTTTGACTGACACTGCTAGGAACTACTAGAATCTGCATGCCAAGTTTCCGAGATCTCGACGTTCATAAAGACGGACAGACGCTCATACGGAAAGACAGACGGACATGGTCGGAAACGCTTATTTTTACCTGTTACATACTTAATACAATATACCCTTTTACTCTACGAGAACTCTTTTCGGTGCTCGTCGTCACTACGTGGAAAGCCGACCACAGTGATTAAGAAAATAAAATTAAACATTTTTTAATAAAAATCTTCTGCGTCGCTCTTTTTTACTCACACCTTCCCAAACTTATGCTACTAAATTAAAAAAAAAAAGTACAACAAAATACAAACTAATAACAAAAACTATAAGCAAATAAAAGCAACATTTAAATTTCTAAACCAAAACGTAAACCAAAATTTAAAAAATTTATGTTACTCCAGGGTAAATTGATTTAATGTCTGAGAAAAGTAAAATTTTATCAAGCGGCAAGCGTTAGAAATGCGAACACCTTGGAGATGAGAAATTAAGCATTTGTTTTATAAAATATTGATACAAGTTTGGTGATGCCAGACCAGTTCAATTAATTGAGCTGTCATTTTAAAATGACGGTTTAAAAACAGTTCTATTCATTTCTATCGAAAACAATTAGCTTAAGGCAAAAAGTAATAAAACATGAAATGTGTATTTCAACTAATCAATTTCAATTTTAACTTTTGTATAATGTTTTCTTTTGATAAAGTCTATGTTTGTGTTCAGCAGTGAACAATTGGGGTCGTTCCTTAAATTAATGAAAATTTTTGCTGAATTGTCTGCATTTCAGAGATTATGTCGTTTAGGGAATATCCAAAGTGTGTTTTTCGTGATTTTCACATGCCGGAATATAGTTAAAACTATTCGTTTACCAAATGAAAAATTTTAAATGAATTTAACAATCTTTAAATTGTATTACTTCTTTGCAGGCGCGTTTCTTCTTCTAGCCATCGGATTTTTGGCCATAACAGCAGCTACGCTGGTTAAAGTTTTCGAGCCTTACGATTTGATATTCAAATGGGTAAGTCCAAAATTGAACTGCTGTCCTTATGAGCCATTTATTAGCCTGGTGGTAAGCTGAAAAAGTTCAAAACAAATATCAATGTCAAAGAATCATCTGTAATTTATAAAAGCCTTTTCCCTGCAGAAGTTAATAATGACGGAGGGGGGCGAAATCTTTAATCTGTGGGCGCAGCCTCCAGTAGATTTGTACATTAAGATATATCTGTTTAACATAACCAATGCTCAGGCCTTTCTGGCGGGTCGGGAGCTCCTCAACGTGGAACAAGTGGGTCCCTATGTATACAAGTAAGTACATTAGAAAAATTTACAAATTCCGATGATTAATAATGGTTCAAAGGGAGGTAATGACCCACAAGAACATCACGTTTAATGAAAATAACACCATGTCCAGCACACCCAGTCATCCCTTGGTCTGGCAGGATCAAATGTCAGAGGGTCGTCGTGAGGATGATGAGGTTATAATGCTAAATATTGCCATGTTGGTGAGTACTTACTTTTATTAACAATTATTATAAAGATTATGGTTAATTCTTTAAAATTGAAATATCACCAAAGAAAGGTATCTCGGCTAGCCAAAATATACTTACAAATATATAATTAAATTTCTGCACTTTTTTGGGACAATTTGTGGCAATGTGCCCCGGCTCTTGGCATCTGTAACAAGTTACAATCTGTAACAAGTTACATTTGCCCTTCCATATTGAGGCTGCCCAGAACGCCGCTCCATTTCAGTTGACGAAAACTGAAGTCCTAGTCCAGATCTACAGTCTTTCTTTTTATGTCCTGGTTTTGCACACTGATAACATTTTAGTTCCGCAGTTTTAGCCCGCTTGGTCTCCGGTTCCCAATTTTGAGCAAAAAGACGCTCCTTCAGCGCAGAGAATACTTGCAGCTCACGTCGATTGCTGACATGCGTTGTGTGTATCATTCGTTGTAAATGCGGTCGAAATTTGTTCACAATTTAAATTATGAAATTTTGTGCACAGTGACGTCACGCTGCGACTCGCAAAAACAGGCAAGCTCTCACAGTTCTTTGGCCGACTATTCAGAAGATTAACAGCGGCTGGCGTCTCTGAAGCCTCTTATCGCTGCTCAAACAATTGCCGGAACTGTTGCCAAGTTATATTTGTGATAACCACTGGGTCGCTGCGCCTTCCAAAGCCTACTCAGCGCTAATATAATAGCGCTTTCACTTAGCGGTTTCGTTCGTAAAATGATGTCGACCGTAGCCCACCACTGCGTGGCATCCACCCCAGCAATGTCCGTATTATATTTCGGCAAGCAAATCTCGCTAGTCTGTTGTACTGCGCTCGGCGGCATCCGTAGCTTCTTAACCAGTTCCAAAAAATTCCGTTTTTGTTGCTCCAACAACGCGGAGGCATCCCTTGACAAAGTTTGATTAGGGCCGAATCCTACTTCGGCAGCTATGCAGCTATATGATATCGTTTTCCGATTTTAATAAAAGTAAAAGCGTAATTCTGACAACCTATTAATTAATGAAAAATAATTTAAAAAAAAAATACAAAATAAAAAAGTTAAATTAAAAAAATTTTGTTTTAAATATTTTTATTGTTTTTATGGGAGCATTATGTTATAGTCGTCCGATTTTGATGAAATTTAAGTCGTAATTCTGAAATGTTTAACCATTACTATATCTCGAAGAACTAAAAAAAAATTAAAAACACCAACGTTATAATTTTTTTCATACGTCTGCCGCATTAATTAAAATGCATAGCCAAAAAGTGTTCTTAAATCCGCTATGCTGTATTGGCGTATCGTTGCCTGTTTGGACACTATACATTTTAGTAGTTAAAGATATTTAGGAGCAGCCTCTCAGGAACACCACGACATTCGCTGACGAATTAGAACCGGATTGTAACGCGTGCAGGGCTAACAGTTTGCAATACCATCAGCTCAACGTTGTTCATTACAAAAACCTGTATAATGTCTTTTTTGCCTTTCTGATGGGAATTAAATGAAGGCTAAGACAAAATGAGCTGCCCTCTTGGAGCAGCAATATATCCTAATATGTTCGCTACTTCTGGCTCTGCGGCAGGGGTACTTGGCGACGAAAGGGCATGTAAAAATGGTGCGTATTCACATGCACCGGTTAGAGGTTATGACTTACCCGTGGGTGTGTGGTAATTCACTGTTTGGGCCAGAATCTGTCCAAAAATTAGTTCACTGCCACTGTAACACTGCGCAAAAATGTGTTCAGTGGTGGGCTGCGAAGGTCTTAATCGGCCCCAACCTTTTTACTTCCAGGTGATAATCGCTGTACAAGTCGAGACTCAGATTAAAAAGAAATCATTGGTTACAACCGGGGTTATCTCTAAAAACGTAACCGCTAATGCAGTCCTACCTATTGACGATTAATTTCTCACGCATATGGTTGCCATTTACAGCTAAGCTTATGACCTGTGCTTCTGTATTTCACTACAACACCCCTCACGCTAAAATCAGACTTGGGGGTAAGCAAGGCTGATCCCGAAAAGACTATTGGCGCAGATCTTTTGCATGGTAGCGTCCAACGAGTTTACCTTGAAGTCCTCAATGTCGTATTATGAATTTCCTAGATTCTAACGCACACGGCTTTTCTGATAATTTTAGAGTTATTAAGAAAATAAGACTTATTGCTACTGTATTTAAGATTACTAACTCTCTGATGCCACCCACCCATAGGAGCATCATCAGGTGTAAGATAGTCCTTTTCAGGACCGTTCCTAATGGGATTTACAAGTACTCGTCTTCAGTGTTTGATGACTGTGTCTTCTGAACACACAGAGAACGAGTGACTTGGGTGTTCTGCTGAAGGTTTTTTTTTGGCATCTTTGGCACGACGGCTTGTAGGTGATGCGTGCACAACGTTCATAGCAAAACACTTTTCGAGGAGCAGTGCAGTCCTGGTACCTTTGACCTTCCTTTCTACAGTTTCCGAAAATTAAAGATATTACTTCAATTGCACCATAATCGTCTTAAAATAACTCTGATTCACAAACTTTATGCTGGTCCTCTAGCAGTTCTGAGACATGGCCTTTAAACAGAGAATCCTTTTTATATATTTGATTTCGCTTTACTTCATCAAGAAAACATTCTCGTCTTCTACATATATCGCGAAGTTTTTAAAATGACTCCGTCGGAATATTTAAGATTTCGAGTCATATTTCTGCTCTCATATTGCGTCTAAGAATCTCTATGAAGGCTTTTTCGTTCAAAGGGCAGTCTAGGTTATCAGTCAACTGACTACAGCATCATAAAACGAATAGAAATTCTCTTTTTCTTTTTGTTTTCAATCTCTAATCAACTCACGAATATCTAAATCTGTCCTAGTATCTCTCAATTGGCGACGAAGTGTGGCACACAGTTCGCTCCACTTTAACTGATTGCACTGATTTATGATACCGCCAGTAAAAGTCACTTGCCTTATCCTCAAACAAAACAAGCAACTTGTGTTGGATACCTTTAGCTGCGTCCAACAACATACGTTGTAGGTCCTCACCCCCACGCTCATGACCCTGACATTCTTTCTCTACAATTTCTAATCCCTGACATTCGCCCTCTGCTTGTGAACTTACAAGTTTTTGACTTCTTGTTTTTTGTGCGATAAAACTATCTGATCTTGCAGTAAGTTGTAACGTACTGATTTTCTTAGTTTATCCGCTCGCTACGAATGTCGTGCGGCTAGCTCAGAAGATGTAAGTGTTTGTCCCACCAAATCTATATAAACGTAACCGCCCTATTGATCAGTGAAAACGCACAGAAAGATTGGGAATATACAAGGATCTTTTATTCGCCGACTTGACCCTCGGCCGTGATTTTGTGTTTACAGTGTGGAAATATTCTATACGCCGTCGGCTCCTTCCCACAGTGAACGTCTCACTGGGTTGTGATTACTGCGAAGTGGTGTCTCCCTCGCCGGTTTCGCTCGCGATGCCTTCTGTTGTCTTTGGCTCGTTTGGATAACAGGGCTTTGGGATGCGTTACCGTTCCCAGACTAGGGTGAACAGGCACTGTGCTCTTGAGGCGTACGCCTTGCGCAACCGTAGCCTTCTGTCCCTTGCTCTGTCCCGGCCGGTCGCACCGGGCGTCGGCTCAGTTTCTACCTGACGGTTCAGGCGTATGACGGAAGCCGCCAACGCAGTCCCTGGGTCAAACGCCAGGCTCTAGACGAACGCTTCCACCCTACCCTCTCTGCCGCAGACTTCAGAATTTGACGTATTTATATTCGTCGTCCTGGTTGTCCTCGTTGACCTTGCTCTGCCTCCGGATGTCTCGACTGGCTCCGCTCCTTGTTGGCGTAGCGCTCACGATTCTGTAAGCTGTCGCTCTGGGACTCTAGCGGTGATCTGCTGTGCTCTCAACGCATACGCCTTTCGAGACACCTTGTACAATTCCTGCAGGACAAACAGACATACGCCGGAGTTCGCCAATGCAGTTCTTGTAGGCAGGCAGCTAGGTAAAGTCCACTTTCCTTCTGAGCCCACGGTTCCTCGTGGAAGGACTCTATTTGTTCAACTCTGTCGGACACGCCGGGTGGGATGCCAAGCTCAAATCGTGACAGAAGTTGTGACAAAGCGCCTGGACTTAGCCGTGTGAAGCCGTAAGGACCTCAGCTACCTGTGTCTCAATTCGGAGACCTTAGCTCTAAATCCCGAACGTCTCGACGTAACGATCTTGTTTCCTTGATGACTCCGCACGGCTCTACTTGGTTCTTCACGTTGTTTCACTGGTTACTGGTTTACTTGATGACTGTTAATTGTTGAATTGGTAGAAAACGACTGATCCAGGTTCCTGCGCTCGGCCTGCTTATATAGGCCTCTGTTTACCGCTAATTATCGGCGTCTCCTTGCCTCCTGGTCCAAAGTCCACGGTTTTACCGTTGGACCTTTCGCCCTCTGCGCTCCCATTACTTCCTTCGGCCCACGGCCCTTCGCTACTCTCTTGTATTTCTGTTCCTCTCGGACTCTCCCTATCCTTGTCTGGTGCTCAAAGCACCACTCTCTCTCGCCGCACTACCATTACTACGGGCGAATTCGCCGCGTAACTGGTAACTAGTAGGCCACTGCTTGCATGCGCTTACTCTGATTTCTTTTTAACTTGTGGGGAGTTATTCAACATGTTTTTTGGTCCTTTGCATGGAATTTTATTAACTTAATTGCTTTTGTCCATTGGTTCTATTTCTGATTTAGTTTTATTATATATATTGAAAATGTTAGTCGGCTTGTGGGCAATTATAATTATTTCGTCCGATTTCATTATTCTTTCATATAGCCTTGTTACATATAATATATTAAAGACCTATTCGTTTTATGTAGGTTTCTGGGTGTTCGTAGTTTGGAGTCTGTTCAAAAGACCCCTTGGTCTTCTAAGGGAAGTGTGGTCCACAAGGACAAACTTACATGATTCAACCGTTACTCGTAGAGTAAAAACGTATATTGTATTTGTTGAAAAGTATGTAACAGGTTGAAGGAAGCGTTTCCGA